TTGCGGTTTTCCTTAATGAGCTGGTAGCCAGATCGATCCACAGCTGAAATCCTACAGCTGAGGGTGCCTGTCCCCAGAAGCCAGAGCCCTCTGGTGCCCTAGCAACAGACTGGCTGCGCTTGCACTGCTCTCTCCTCTTTAACACCCTTTCCGTCCCTTGAGCACTGAGCACATTTCTCCCCTCAGAGAGCATGCTCCCTTCTTAGCTTCTGCAGGTGAAAACTCCATGGTGTCCTTGAAGCCATGTTCTCTCTGTGAGGCCTGGCTCAACCCTACTGAATGGTTTTTCTTTTCAGGAACCCAGAATCTTTTGCCTGAGTGGCTGACTTGTCCTCCACAAGCCCTGACACGCTCAGCACTGATACACACAGTGAGCTTAAACATCTCAGGATAATGAAGGAAGAGTTCAAAGTGAAAGTAAGCAGAGGTTCATGCCACACTTCCCGTAATTTCCTTAGGGAATCTGGCCCAGCTGCAAATAGTCAGGTAATGCTGTCCTGGGGTCAAAGAGCCTTCAGGGCTCCATGAATCCAATGCAGAGTGAATGGCCATTGGTCTGTCACCCTGGGTGCAGATACTGACATTAACATCCTCCTTGTATGCTTTCTGTGCAAAGTCACCACAACAAACTTTCCTCAGAATCTCAGTCGTACAACGTGCCAGAAGACTGGTCATCCCAGCTTCCCTGTGACTCCTCTGCCAAGCTCTGGCTGTGTCCCAATGATCCCCAAGAGGTTCACTTGCTGAATGGCAGCAAACAACCACACAGCTGTCACCGAGTTTATCCTGCAGGGTTTCTCTGAAGACCCTCAGCTCCAGGCCTTCTTTTGGGCCTTTTTCTTCCTTCTTTACCTAATGGCTCTTGCAGGAAACATTCTCATTGTCACAGCCATCAGCTTGAACCCAGGCCTTCATACCCCAATGTACTTTTTTCTCACCAACTTGGCCCTTTTAGACATTGTCTGCACATCTACTGTTCTCCCCAAACTGTTGGAGGGTCTGGCGGTCAAAGGTAGCACCATCTCCTACCAGGGCTGTATGACTCAGCTCTTCTTCCTGACATGGTGTCTGGGGGCTGAACTGCTGCTGCTCACAGTCATGGCCTATGACCGCTATGTGGCCATTTGTCGGCCATTGCACTACAGCACGTGGATGAGCTGGCCTCTGTGCATCCTGCTAGCGGGCAGCATGTGGATGATCAGTGGCGTGAACACATCTGTTCAGACGGGGCTGATGACACAGCTTAGTTTCTGTGGCCCGTGTGAAGTCAGTCACTTTCTATGTGAAGTCCCCACTCTGCTGCTGTTGTCCTGTAGCCCAACAACTCTGAACAACATCATGATAGTCATTGCAGACATTTATTTTGGAGTGGTCAACTTCCTCCTGACCATGGCATCCTATGGCTGCATCATCACCAGCATCCTGCGCATTCGCTCAGCAGAGGGCAAGCGACGGGCCTTCTCCACCTGCTCTTCCCACCTGCTGGTGGTCTGCATGTACTACTCCACGGTCATCTATACCTACATCCTCCCAGGCTCGGGCTCCTCCTTGGAAAATGGCAAAGTGGTGGCAGTGCTATACACGGCAATCAGCCCCACCCTGAACCCCCTCATCTACTCTCTGCGGAACAAAGACGTCAAAGTAGCCCTCAGAAAAGTGTTTCTGTGTGTTTGGTAAAGGAAGTGAAGTGGCTGGTGTCGATTATTTCAGATATTAATCTGGCAATTTCAGCACTTGACTTTGGGAATCTGATATCTGATGCAAGTGTCAAAGGATAATAAGATAATGTGGTAAGTGATAATGTGCTTCCCAGTGAAGTTGTCAATTTTAAACATGGAATTTCAAGCATCTCAAGGCCCTGAGGATAGATCTTGTCAAGAGGCAAGGGAGAACCAGTAGCTAGTTGGAAAACAGGAGCCCTGCTGTGTCCACCTGTTTCTCCCTCCCTTCGGTACCTTCCTCACCAGTTTTTGCCAGCACATGCACTGAATAATTGTTAGGAGCAAGGACATATGAGGTGCTGCTGGCCACCTCCTCTCTTAGAGGAGAAAAATGGGTTGAGGTTCTGATGAGTGATGAGATTCAGACAGGCTCATCATGCATGCTCTGTGGTACATTTTCATTGTATGTGTGTGTGTGTGTGTGTGTGTGTGTGTGTGTGTGTATGTTTCGAGGGGGAGTGGTTTCTTGCTATTCTGCCTTGAAGAAAATCACCGAGACCCTGACTCTCTAGCCCACTCCTCTTTGTGTGTGGGTAGGGAAATCACATCTTCTGTTCCTCACTGTGAGCTTTCACAGTTCTGACACAATCAATGATGAGAAAATCTTGTTAATCCAGCCTTTCTTTTTAGCAAGTGGCAGAAAGATGTGCGATTTTATTTATTTCCTTTCAGTAAAGAGCACCACTGGGACTAGCAGATGGAATGATGTTTGCATCACTGGACTCCCACATTTGAGTCCTGAACCCAGTGTGTGTGCGTGCATGCTCAAAATCCCAAGAGGAGAATGGAGGAGAAGGAATTGCAGCATGGCCATACCCCCTGGGGGGTGATTTCTCTCTTTCTTTCTGTCTCTCTGGAGAGTGCACATGCCCTATAACAAAAATATCTCTCTAAGAAAATAAAGATGAAATGAGCAGTACCATTCTTTAACCAAGAAGCTTTGCAATAGCAAAAATTTATTTTCTTCTTTAGTTTGGACAGAAGCTCCTGCAGAATTATTTTTATGGGTTCATTTCCTTCTTGATCTTCTTATTATTGTCTTACTCTCTGCTTCTAGAATGTAAATGTTGATATTATTTTTTTTCTTATTTTTTACATTCAATCACTGTGCATCTCTACAAAATTGAAAAGGAATTTTCCAGAATGGGTACCTTATTTATTAGTCCAGTCAAAGAAATTACCAACACAATGTCATCAACAGATAGCTTTTCATTTTTGTGTCCATTAAATGTTCCCCCCCTATTCTCTCCTCATTTTCTGTCCCCGCCATGTCCCATCCTCCTCCTACTGGTATCCACTGTTGCTCTCCCTGCTTCTATACCTTCCAATCCTTCAGTTTCTGCCATAGAGTGTAGACGTTTTGTATATATTAAGTGGGGACGTACAATGCCTTTCTTTCGTGGTCTTGCTTGCTTCACTTAGCATTAAATCTTCCACAGTCTTCCACTCTCTATCAAATGCCAGGGCTTCATTTTTTTTAAATAGCCGAGTATTCCATAGTGTGTATGCTCCACACTTTTTTCAATTTATTCATTTGTTCTTGAACATGGCATCGACCGAAATGGTGGTATTCTTAATAGGTTCATTCAAGATTATCTTCTATTCTCGAGGTAACTTCTATGCCTATGAGAAATGCTGTGTTTATCATTGATATTTGCCAATGATATCCAAATGCATAGTGGCCACTCATACCTATCCTCTGAATTCCATCCCATTGTTGTAACTGCCTCTATAACACCTAGCTACCATAGGTATCTGGAAATTCTCCAAGAACCACACTTAGGCCAAAGGCATTATCTTGAACCCTTCAGCCTTATTCATCTGCAAGAGTCCCAGTTATTGACAACACTTTGATCCTCTTTTGTAGCTGCTGTTTCCACATATCCTCAAATCATATTGATTTAACATCAACACCTGTCAGGTATGATGATATTGCTATCTTTCATACTCCTGATGCTGTAGCATCCTTATTAAATAACTCAATATCACCCACACTGTCTCCCACATAAATTTTTAACATTTGTCTTTTTCTTTTTTAGAGGTTTTTGCTATAGGGCGCGTGCTCTTGCTGGACAGACAGAGAGAGACAGAGAGACAGAAAGTGAGAAATCACCCCCCCAGGGGGGATGGTCATGTCGCAATCCCTTCTCCTCCATTCTCCTCTACGGGATCTTGGGCATGCACGCACACACGCCTGGCATGAGTTTTAAGCCACCAAGTCTGGGACGCAAACCGCGGTCGACTGCATGGGAGTCCAGTGACATAGCCATTATGCCAACCGCTAGTCCCTCTTAACATTTGTTTTCTACCTTGTATCTAGATTTATAATCTTAACATTTTATTATGAAAGATTACACACATAGAGCAAAATTGACAGAAATTTACAGTGAATACTTATGTACCCCATCACCTACATTCTACTGTTAATTTCTTAGTGAATTTGCTTTATTTATCATCTAGCCATGTGTTTGCCCACCCACCAATTTATCTTATTTTGTGAATATCTATGCAAGCTGCAAACATCAATACATTTATTTTTTAAAAAGAATTATTTAACTTTATCTGTCTATCTATCTATCTATCTATTTATTTATTTATTTATGTATAATAGGCATTTTATTTTTTCACAGAGGACAGACAGTTCTTCAGTCTTTAAAGACTCGCCTCCTTACATGGGCTTTGGGGGAGGGCGTGGAACAGCATCCGCAGGTCTAAATTTGGGTGGGGGTATTCGGTCCTTGGAGCTGCATGAGATTGGTTCTTGACTACCTTGCTATGAATGGCGCAACTCATGCAGTAATGTAGCTTCACATACAGCTTGGGGAGCACGTAGGCATCGAAGACACTTGCTTCAGAGATATCCCTGATGGCTACGGCCTCTACTATGTTTTGGATGACCAGCTTCTTAATAGCCTTGTCCTTGGGCACGCATCAGGCGCAGTTCATGTAGTGAATAGACTGCACATGGCCACGGCCCTTTTTGGCATGGCCGTTGTTTCTTCTTTTCTTCATCATCTTGGAAGCGAGGCTGCGAGAGAACCTATTTATTTATTTATTTATTTATTTATTTATTTATTTATTTAAATTTGACCAGAGAGGGATAGAGAGAGAGAAATTGAGAAAACAAGCCACCAGTTTCAGGACTCAAACTGCGGTCAACCATGTGGAAGTCCAGCATCTTTAACCACCACGCTACCTGCTAGCTTTCCATCAATATATTTTTTATTCTTTTTATTTAATTGCCAGGGGGTACATGTACTTTCCAGAAAGAGACAGAGAGACAGAGATGAGGAGAAATTACCCTCCCATGGGGTGTGGTAATGCTGCAATCCTTCCTCCTTCATCATGTTGGAATTTGGGTCATGCATACATGCAGCATGTTCTTCAAGTAGCTGGGGTCAGGACTCAGACTATGATTTGGCCATGTGGATCTGGTTCCCTTAACCACTAGGCTATGGTGCCATTCCCAATATACTTTTTTTGGAGAGGTTTTTGCTATAGGGTGCGTGCGCTCGCCAGACAGACAGAGAGAGACATAGAGACAGAAAGTGAGAAATCACCCCCCAGGGGGGATGGTCACGCCGCAATCCCTTCTCCATTCTCCTCTCGGGATCTTGGGCACGCACGCACACGAGCCCGGCGTGAGTTTTAAGCCACTGGGTCCTGTACACGAACTGCGGTCGACTATGTGGGAGTCCAGCGACATAACCATTACGCTAACTGCTGGTTCCCCCAATATACTTCTTAAATGCTTCTTCAAACATATAAGGTGGGGAACATGGTGATAGGGAGATGCTGGTTAACAAATTAAAGTTCCTTTTTTGGGGTGAAGAAAATGTTCTGAAATTACATAATGGTTATGGATTTACAACATTTCAAATGTATTAAAGGACAATTTATTAGAAAGTTTGTAAAAGTTAAAATGATGAATTTAATGTTATGTGAATTTTATCTCAATAAAAAATATATGCCAAGTTAGGTTGCCATTTTGCACTTTGTCCAAGATACCAACAAGAAAAGAAAACTGTAGGGGAGATAAAAGTCTTCCCAATTATGAAATTCATTAAAAAGATTATATATATATATATATATATATATATGTATATATATGCTTAGTTTTGACAAATGCACACACCTGTATAATCCAAATCCCTATCAAGATATAGAACATGACCTTCAACCCAAAAGCTTTCATTCTGACTCATCTCAGTCAATCCCTACCCTACCGCCCTCTTGAGGTCATCACTGTTCTGACTTTTTTCTGCAATAGGTCAGTTTTGTGTATCTTAAAATGTCATGTAAATGGATTCATACAGCATGTATTCCCTTGCATAAGGCTTATGTCACATAGCACAATATTTTTCAGATTCATTCATGTTGTGTGTACTAGATGTTGTTCCTTTTTATTTTTGGTTAGTGTTACAGCACATTTTATTTATCCATTTGCCTGTTGATGTGTATAGTTTCTGACATTTGTCTATTTGGAATAAAACTTCTAAGAATGATTATATACAAGTAATCCTTTTGTGGATATGGTTTTGTTTCACTATGAGTGAAATTGCTGAGTCATAGAGTTTCTTTATGTTAGTTTTATAAGAAACCTTCCTTATAAAGTAGTTTTACCATTAAAATTTTTAAATTTAACTTTATTCATTTATTTTAATTTGACCAAAGAGGGACAGGGTGAGCGAGAGGCAGAGAGAAAGTGAGAAAGCAAGCCACCAGGTCTGGGACTCAAACAATAGTTGGCTATGTGGGAGTCCAGCACCCTTAATCACCACACCACCTGTCGACCTCAGTTCTTGTACCATTTTACATTTCCATTAGCAGTAGATGAGATTTATGCTTGCTTCATATCATCACCAATGTTCAGTAATAGAAAGATATGTAAAAACTGAAATATAATTATGCTATTTCCCTGGATAGAAGCCTTGAGTACCTTCTATTGCTCATTGG